GGTGCTTTAAATTGCCACAGAAGTGCCGTACGGCACGCTGTAGAGCTCTACATGCACTCTGGCCAACTTTGAGAGCTGACAGCAGGACCACGCTTCTGGGTGATGTTGTGAGCTGGCTGCCCTAACCCCACCCCTTCTGGGCATGCCAAGCTAGGCACCCCCACATTGCCCAAGGGTCCAGCAATCCTGTCAGCTCCCCTTGCTGTTGATTTAGATATGTGAAGCAGAAATGTTCCTATGGCCAATTCTTTGAAAGTCAAAGTCACAAAACAGAGAAGCTACATCTACACTGCAGGCTTCTCGTGCAAGAACTGTTTTGCAGAAGAGTTCTTGTGCAAAAAGTCTTCCACAAGAGCGTGTCCACACTGCCATGTGCTTTTGCGCAAGAGGGTCCTTAGCTGTGTGGGCACTCTCTTGCGCAAGAAAGCTCAGATGGCCATTTTAGCCATAGGAGCTTCTTGCGCAAGAGATTCATTTTGCCTGTCTACACTGCCTTCTTGTGGAAGAGCTCGTGCGCAAGAGGGCTTATTCCTCATGGGGAGAAGAATAACTCTTCCAGAAGAAGCCCTGTTTTCTGACGCTGTACTGTAAATTTACTTGCACAAGAACACGTGTGCAGTGTAGACACTCTGCAAGTTTTTGCACAAGAACAATTGTTCTTGCGCAAAAACCCTGCAGACATAGCCAGACAGACACTAGGCAAATCATAGGCCAAACATGGACCACTGGATGCTCTGGTTACAGCCCCTACCCTAAATCTTTTTATTTATTCTTTTTTTTTTTGTTATTTTCTCTGGAGTCTGGACGCTTGACTATAACTTGACCAAAAAGTTCTGACTTTGTCAAAAATTATTGACTACTGCTGCCTTAAAACAAATAACTAAAGCCAATGTACTAGGCTAATTCAGAGTCCCTCCTTCAGGTGTTCCAACATTGCGAAGTCTTTGGTTCTTCAATGCTGATGGAAATTGTACCTGCAGGAAGGGGACTTGTGCCCTTTTTTGCTCCTTCATGATGTATAAAAGAGACCTAAAAAATGAGGGTGAGGAGAAGGGTTCTGCTGGATTATTAAATTAGTAATTCAGGTTTTTTTCTACCATGTAAAATGCCAAGAACCAATAGAAACCTCACAGGATTACAAAATCACAGAAGCAAACACACAAAAACGAAACTTTAAAAGTGATGGTTTTTTATTCACACCCTTGGTTTCACAAACCCCTTGTAACAGTCGCAGAAGGGCAGCTGTGTTTGTCTGCAACTTTAAAAACGAACAGTCCTGTCGCACCTTAGAGACAAATATCTATGTTACCAACTAGCTATCAAGAGAGAGCATCAGGAGCTTTCCTGGACAAAACCCACTTCTTCAGATGAGACGAGTATCAGGAGCTTTCCTGGACAAAACTCACTTCTTCAGATGAGATGATCTTGAGTCATATGTGTCTGTTTATCACCCGAGTAGCTGATGTTGAGCAATAAAAATGTCCCCAAAGCCTTGATCTAATATATATATGCTGAGCCTGTAATATAAAAATAAATGTACGTTGGCACACAGTGTGTGGGACACGTAGAGTAAGGCATGATGAGCACAGAGAAAGAACAGGACTCTCCCCAGCCAGTTGCACACAGTATATAGTTGGCAGGAGAGAGCAATTGGCAGCCAGCATCATCCATTTTTGAACACTCAGATGCTGGTTCCAATAAATATCAAAATGCTTAATGCTTTTAAAAAAACAACCACCCTGTTTTATGGGGAATAGAGCTTTATTTGTGTATTTATTTTTTTTTAAACTAAAGGGGAAAACATGGGGCAAAACCATTTTGGAGAGCCACGTGAAGTGTTGAAAGAGTGAATGAATGTAGATGCATCCCAGTTCTTTCCTTTATCTCAGCTGCACAGACCCACATTATACAGACAACAAAAGTTTAATGCTCAGTGACTGAGATGCAGTGTCTGGCCTGGTTTAAACATCTGATGTTCAGAATCAACAATCGTACTGTTCAATGAAAGTAGGTGAGCACTGTATCTACTGATGGCTGTTGCACAAAATGGTCCCTGTTCTACTAAAAAAACCCGAAGAGCTTCTATGAGGGGAGGTAGTTGTGTGGTGTATGTGCCTCATCCCAGCCCCTTACGCCCCAGCCCGATTCCTCCCTGTGTGGGGGAGAAACTTGGGTCCTTCAGTGTCTCTCAACTAGTGGTACAAGCACTCTTAGGGGTACTCCAGAGAAGTCGGGGCAGGGGGGGATATGTCAACAGATCTGGAATTTGGAGAAAACGGAATTTTTGTCTTAAGTTTTACAGCTTTTTTTTATTGTACTTTTTATACCCCAAAATGTCATCACCTGCCCAGCTACGATTAAGTTGTTTAAACAAATGTGTTGCAATGGTAGGAAAAAAAATGTGTCCGAAAACTGTAGATACTGGAGATACTTATAATTTTTTTAAAGGGTTACGTTATAAAAAAAGGTTGAAAAACACTGAAGTGTGCTGGCAGCCGGAAGGTATGCTTATCCCTCGCTGTCCCTCTCATTTCTAACCTTTCTTTCCTGGAATTTGACTTTCTACATGTTAATCTACTTCGTATTTTTGTTCCCAGCAGAGTAACTCTGATTTAGTATCTCTGCCCATCTTGCCCCCCCCCCCCCCCCCCCCCCCCCACCCCTAAATGAAGTTTTCATGCAAAATGCTGTATTTTTAGGCTAGTATTTATTTATTTATTTTAGTTTTTGCTGGAGTAAAGTTATTTTAGCATAACTACAAAGTCAAGAAAGGCCAGCAAACAGGCTTAAGTGCTTATGCTGGGGGACTGTGATGTCCATGTTTATTGATAATAATCTACTACTTATCAACATTTGATAGTGTTATTTTAATTCTGGTAAAAACACTAATTGTGAAAGCTTACATGCAATGTTTGAGTTAAAAAGTTTGAACAGCTGAAAGTTAGGAAATGTGAGCGATTTTATAGTAGCAGTAAGATATTAGTACCAACATTTGTTTGTATGGCATATACTGGGCCTGACTGCATGCAACTTTAAGAAATTGGATGTTTTCTTTGGTCTCAGTCTTGCAATGCAGAAGCACTGTAGTGTCAAGAAGGCCCGCGTTAGGCCCACAGGATTGCGACCTCTATATTAAAGTATACATCTATAAGTTTAAATAATAATCTACAATGAAATGTGCATGCTGAGAGTTGGTTACTGCTAGAGCCTTAACTTTTGTGTATTTTAACTTGTTTATATCTCCAAAGCTGCAGTAAATTCTACATGAGTAAACTCCTACATCTATGTAGAACCCCGTAGAAGCAACACAAGAGTAAGGGACTGCCCAGGTGGATTCAGGCTGTAGGATCATGGATGACAACTTATTGAAAATACAATTTCTTCTATCGTGGAACAAATCAGGAAGAGAAGAAACACATAGGACAGGGGTCTCAACTCCTAGCCTCTGGGCCATATATGGCCCAAGCACTTCCTCAGTCTGGCCCACCAAATATTTAAAAAAAGTTATTTAATAGACCTGCACTGCTGCCAGCCTGAGGAATGGGGGTGAGGGCAGCATGCAGGGGCTCACCTGCACACATGGCTCCCAGCAGCACTCAGACCTCCTGTGTACACATAGTCCCACCTCCAGAGGGCTTTGCTTGGTCCAGGAAGCTGTGCTGGCTGTCTCCGCCACAATGTGAACCATGTTGGCCAGAGAGCTGCTCAAGCTGACATGCTTTTGCAGTCAGCAGAGCAGAGCTGGTGGGTTTTGCTTTTGGTTATCCCAAGCAGGGACAGGAGATCCCAGCAGGAGGACAAAAAAAAAGCCCCTGTTATCAGGAGGATTGTGATCAAATCAGGAGAGTTGGCATCACTAATATCTAATCAGTTTCACAAAATGAGTTCATTGTTTCACAGCTTGTACCTCTGTACAGGACACCTCCTGCCAGACCACATGGATGTGTGGTGGTGTGGAGCTAGCAGCCAGAAGCCATTTTAGCTGACCAGCGCTGTCTGTGGTGGTAGCTAGGGTCCCTAGTGATTTTAAAATTTGCCTGGGCTGGGAGAAATGCAGGGAGAAGGGAAATGCATGGAGGACCCCCTGATCCCTGCCAGAGACAGGTGCCTGCTGGACCACTAGGAGGATTTGAGGCCTGGCCCTGACTCTAAGGTAAATTGAGTTTGAGACCCCTGATAGGATATATCGGAACATTTGTTATTTCTTAGCTGAGCATACTTTCAGATTCCAGCAGCTCTGGAGGTACACTGAAATCAGCAAACGGCACCTTAGGAAAACTGTGTGTTTATAGTTAGTTAACTCAGAAGTCAAATCTTAGAGGTAAAGCAGTTTATAGTTTTCATACGAGTTAGTATGTTAGGCTACAGAGAAAATTCCCATGGAGTCTTAAGCTTGATCTGCTGACACATGTGAAAACTACAAACTGCCTTGTCTTGTAGCATTGTACTTTGAGTTGGGAAGACACCTGTTTTCCTAATTAAGACACAACCTAACACCCCGTCTTGATTGGGAAAGAGAAGTAAGTTTCAATCATGTTAACAATGAATTAGCTTTATATGATGGGATAGACCTCTTGAGTATAACAACGCTGTCCCCCACCCTCCAAAAAAACAACAAAAATAAAAAAAAGCCAACCTTGTGATGGCAAATTTTAGAGTTTGGGTGCACAGACTTGTTCTTGTGGGGGACCTGCACAAATAGCAGTGGAGATGTTCCCACTTGGGCTCTGAGATCCACTCCCCTAGCCAGGCTTCAGAACCTGATCGCTAGCCCATGTAGCAATGTCTATGTTGTTATTTTTAAGACCATTGTTTGTTTAAAATGTTAATATGACCAAGAGTCTCTAAAGGTTACAAAAGAGATGTCTGAATAAAGTGATAGAAATAAAACTTTAGATTAAGCTGATACTTTTTTCTCTACTTCATGTTACACAATTTTTCTTTAACTTTGCTTTAAAATATATTTCACTTACCAACCATATGTGTGATACTTGCTGTTTTCTGCTTGTTCACAGGAAGTGAATGTTGAATTTGAAGCACATTCAATTTCAGATAATGATTATGATGGGATAAAGAAATTACTGCAACAGGTAAATTCAGAATATTCTTTGTTGCTCCTACTTGGATTTCTGTCATACATAAATAGCTTCTACAGCCTTAAACTGTCATCAGTCACCATTACTATTATTGATTCAGTGTTTTACTATGCCTCAGTTGACGAAGCAAAATACAGGACTATGTAGCACTTTAAAGACTAACAAGATGGTTTATTAGATGATGAGCTTTCGTGGGCCAGACCCACTTCTTCAGATCAAATAGTGGATCTGAGGAAGTGGGTCTGGCCCACGAAAGCTCATCATCTAATAAACCATCTTCTTAGTCTTTAAAGTGCTACATAGTCCTGTATTTTGCTTCAGCTACACCAGACTAACACGGCTACATTTCTGTTACTATTCAGTTGACGAAGGCATGAATAATTAGTTACAACATGCACATGATTAAATGCAGCAGTTCCACAACACATTCTGGTAGACCATATCTGTTGTCTTATCTCAATTGGGGCGGCCCATGAGTATAGGCCGACTCGGCTGTCGCCTATGGCGCTGCCTTCAACGGGGCACCCAATGATGACGTCACACCATTGATGGCCGTGCAGGTGGGGGCGCCAATCGTGCATTCCGCCTGGGGCGCCAGCTGCCGCAGCCCACCTTGGACCGCCTCTGGTCTCGATCTTCGAGCAGTGAGGCTTCCTGGGATTTATATCTCAGTGCTTTGGGTTTCTAGTTGTTTTTTTTACTAACTGCTCCCTATTTGGCTGCTTCATGCCTCTTTTGATTAGCGGTTCCTTTTTTTTCAAATTCAATTTCAAATACATTTGCAGACTGTGTCAAAATTGGAAGGGTAAAATACAGAAGAGGAGAAAACACATGCAAAGTAATATGGAGACATTAGAGTAGTTGATACTGCAGGCAACTAGGAGAGATGAGGTTTGTTAGTGCTTCAAGTCCTACACTCAGGGAAAGGAAATAAATGATAAATAGACTGAATATAAGGGGGAGGAAGTTAAGAGCATGGTAAAGGAAAGTAAACAGATAATTTAAAGAGAATGTATTTTAATCTTGTTTTAGTGCTGTCCTAACATTTTCATGTAATGCACAGTAGCTGCCACAGAGATTAAGGTAACCAGGCTGGGAGGAGGTCGACAAGAAGGATCACCATTTTAATAAGTAGCTCACAACAGGAAATTTTTAGACTGTTTTCACAGTACTTGTTCTTTTTTTTTTATAGCTGTTTCTAAAAGCTCCAATTAATATCGCTGAGTTAACTGACATATTAATACAACAGAATCACATTGGGAGTGTTATCAAGGTAAGGGCTTCCAGACTTGCTAATCGAACACAGTGTAATATTTTATATTGGAATGGAACAATTGTGATCCCCTTCATAATATACATTAAATGAAGAATTCTAGAGCTCAGTCTGTGGCAACATAAAGCATTTAGCTGTTAGTTGTATTTTCATGTTCTGATTCCTCAAAGTGGAGTTTTCAGATAACCTCAGCTCTTAACATGATGAGGTAAATGTTCAATTTCCTGAAGTCAAAGTGTTGCAGACTCTCCAGACAGTGTCTCTAATTAACTGACTGGAAAAGTTGTGGTGGTGTGGCACCAGTAGTAGCAAATACTGCATTGAACATTATTTGTAACATCTTGTTACATATCTCTTCTCTTCCATATAACTTTGTTAACAATTCTCCTTTTGAGACTGAAATTTTCTGTTCATTTCAAACAAATGAGGAACTTTTTTGGTTTTTTTGGAGGAGTGTGGGAGAGGTTATGAAATCTGAGGGAAATTTATCTGGCTAATTTTGAATTCTGGTGTAACTAAGAAATAATTTTGTTGCATAGGTGAGATAGAAGAGGAAGCATTAATTATAAAAAAGTGACTTTTTGTTCCCGCCAAATGTAAAATTGTCTAAAACTGCAAGCCAAACACATTTCTGGCTTTTGTTTCTTTTTGGAAGAAAATAATTATAAGCTTGTAAAAAATTGCATCTCTTAAGAACTTAGCGGAACCTAATGAAAACTCATCCCTAAAATCAACTTGTGAGATGACGTAGCAAGCAGGAAGAACTGCATACTCTTTCTTCATATCATGACTAGGGGCTTGGGTAGGAATAAGTGGTGCTGTTAGGACTGCTTGAGTTAGAGAGCATGTAAATGGCTCACTGAAACACATTAACAGTCTCTAAAATGTAAAAAACAAAAAAACAATCTTGCTCTACTATTCTCCTTCCCTGGGGGAAAAAAGTGTGATTTTTTTAAACTTGTTTGGTCTTCATACTGCTATGTTCTTCTAAATACATTTACATTTAAAAGCATTTATATTTCTAATGCAAAGGAAAAATACTGTGACTTTCATTTTTGACCCTGCCTTGCAAGACAACCTCATCCCAAACAAATGAAGACTTGCACTTTCCCAACCCATACAACTCCAGGAGTGAACCTTGGTGTCCAGGTAGATCAGCAATGAGCAGATACGAGTGAGCATGACCCTTACTGGGAGATGGTTACCGGTTAACTACAGGCCCTGTCAGGCAGGAGCCCTGTGGGGTTCCATTTAAGCACTTAACCCATTAAACGTAATGTTTAACCAGTTAACTGATTAAATGGGATTTTACATTCCTGTCCCAGAATATTTATTGCTATTACTATTTATCACTATGAAGTATTATGAATAGAACTGAATTACTCTGGTCAAATAAAGTATCTTTATTATGCATTTTCTTGGTTTTGTAAAATTTATTTTTACTCAATTCTATTGCAAGGAGATGAATATGGGGGAGTCTCAGTCATTTGTTTGAATTAGTGATCTGCTTGGAAGTAAGTAAAAATTGAAGGGTATAAAATATTCTTACAGAGGTTTGACAGAATAAATTATTTAGACAACTTATAATTTCCTCACTTTTAATGTTCTTGTCTGTTAAGCAATACAATGGACTTAGATTTTTTTAGATGTGCATAAAGCATCCTGGACATAGACTAATGGCTTTATTTAAAAAAAAAGTGGCTTAGTATTAGCTTTCCTTTTTACTTTTGTTAAATAGCAAGCAGAAGTTCAAGAAGAAAGTGGTGAGGATGAAGATGAGGATGAAGTCTTTGGCTTCATAAGCCTCTTAAACTTAACTGAAAGGAAGGTGAGTAATACTAGTTAACTTCTGGATGGTAATTTATAGAAAATAAAATATTTTCTATTCAGCTTACCTCATTAAAGATCCCATTGTAGACATTAAGTCAAGTGCCAGATAGTTCTTTTTTCCCCTGTCACTCTACTCAAATGCCTTTTATACTATCACTAATTTAATTGTTCTGAAATGGGGTTCTGCTTCTGTAAGGTTACTCTGTAAAGTATCTCTACATTGTGTGGCCAAGCAGTTAGGCTGCATTTTATGGTAATAATGAAAAAGTACAGTTAAGTTCTAGACAGGCCACTAAGAATTTCCCAATAAAGCTCATATTTCTGTGAGACCTTATCGTACAGGTCATGTCACAATATCTTACAGTCTTCTAAAATGTATTTAATGCATTTATAAAGCAATTTGCAAGGCCTTCATGTTACCTGTACCATAAAGTAAAAGTAATTACACCAACTATTCAAACAGTATGAACTAGATGTGGCACCTTGTACCTGATGATTCTCTGACAGACTTCTGCGCCAGTCAAAAGGCATAAAATATGTTCAGAGAATAGGGATGGAAAAGAGGCCACTAAATGCAAACTCCAAGGAAACAATTTTTAATATTTCCAATTATATTCCCTTTTTTATTCTATAAACTCATCTTGGGTTTTGGATTAATCTAACCTTTTGATTTACATTATTAGTTTTAGTGCTTTGAGTTAATTTTTTCTGCTAACTTGATATCTTTGCATATAAAATGTGTTTACTATATTTAGATGAAAATGGTAACGAAATCCAACGTGTAAGTGCATCTGTGCCTTCATTAACATGGTATCTGAATGTCCCACGGTCTTTAGTGAGGCTACTATATTAGGTAGAGAAATCCTACTATTCCCATTTTACAGATGGAGAACTGAAAGACTAAATGTCTTACCCAAAGTCACACGTGAAGTCTGTGATGGAATAGGAAAATCAGTTCAGGTCATGCAAGTGCCCGGCTAGTAACAACTGGACCATTTGTCATCTCATTTCTCATGTTTCTCATTTGTTGGGATTGTTGCCCTTTTTTGTGGCTGTTATGCAGAGTGGAGTTGTAACTGGTAGATGTATTGTTTTCATATGTACTTCAGCCTGACATCAAAGCCTGAGTTGTACAAAGCCTGAGTTGCCTTGTATATTAAAAATGTACACACTTGGACTGAAGTGGAGATGAACGTAGGAGATAGCTGTGTAGAGAGTCTCTGGGTTAAGCTAAAAGGGGTAAAAAACGAGGGTGATATCATGCTAGGAGTCTACTACAGGCCACCTAGCCAGGTGGAAGAGATGGATGAGGCCTTTTTTAAACAATTAACAAAACTATCCAAAGCCCAAGATTTGGTGGTGATGGGAGACTTCAACTATCCAGACATATGTTGGGAAACTAACACAGCGAGGCACAGGCTATCCAATAAGTTTCTGGACTGCATTGGAGACAACTTTCTGTTTCAGAAGGTTGAAAAAGCTACCAGAGGAGAAGCTGTTCTGGATTTGGTTTTAACAAATAGGGAGGAACTAGTTGAGAACTTGAAAGTGGAAGACAGTATAGGGGACAGTGATCACGAAATAATAGAGTTCATGATCTTAAGGAAAGGTAGAAGGGAGACCAGCACAATTGAGGTAATGGATTTCAGGAAGGCAGATTTTGATAAGCTCAGAGAACTTGTAGGTAAGGTCCCATGGGAAGCAAGACTGAAGGGAAAAACAACTGAGGAGAGTTGGAAGTATTTCAAAGGGACGTTGTTAAGGGCCCAAAAGCAAACAATTCCGCTGTGTAGGAAAGATAGAAAATATGGCAAAAGACCAGCTTGGCTTAACAAGGAGATCTTGCACGATCTCAAAATAAAAAAGGAGTCATATAAAAAATGGAAACTAGGACAACTAACAAAGGATGAATATAGGCAAGCAACACGGGAATGCAGGGGCAAGATTAGAAAGGCAAAGGCACAAAATGAGATCAAACTAGCTACAGGCATAAAGGGAAACAAGAAGACCTTTTATAAATACATTAAAAGCAAGAGGAAGACCAAGGACAGGGTAGGCCCACTGCTTAGCGAGGAGGGAGAAGCAGTAACAGGGAACTTGGAAATGGCGGAGATGCTCAATGACTTCTTTGTTTCGGTCTTCACCGAGAAGTCTGGAGGTGTGCCTAACGTAGTGAATACAAGCAGAGAGAGGGTAAGTTTAGAAGATAGGATACACAAAGAACAAGTTAAAAATCACTTAGGAAAGTTAGATGTCAGCAAGTCACCAGGTCCTGATGAAATGCATCCCAGGATACTCAAGGAGCTGATAGAGGAGGTATCTGAGCCTTTAGCTATGATCTTTGAAAAATCATGGCAGACAGGGGAGATTCCAGAAGACTGGAAAAGGGCAAATATTGTGCCCATCTATAAAAAGGGGAATAAGAACAACCCAGGAAACTACAGACCGGTCAGTTTAACGTCTGTCCCAGGGAAGATAATGGAGCAGGTAATTAAGGAAATCATATGCAAACACTTGGAAGGTAATAAAGTGATAGGGAATAGCCAGCATGGGTTTGTGAAGAACAAGTCATGCCAAACTAATCTGATAGCTTTCTTTGATAAGATAACGAGCCTTGTGGATAAGGGAGAAGCGGTGGATGTCATATACCTAGACTTTAGTAAGGCATTTGATACGGTCTCGCATGATATTCTTATTGATAAACTAGGCAAATATAACTTAGATAGGGCCACGATAAGGTGGGTGCATAATTGGCTGGATAACCGTAGTCAGAGAGTTGTTGTTAACGGTTCTAAATCCTGCTGGAAAGGGATAACAAGTGGAGTTCCTCAAGGGTCTGTTTTGGGACCCATACTGTTCAACATCTTCATCAATGATGTAGATATTGGGATAGAGAGTACGCTTATTAAGTTTGCAGATGATACCAAACTGGGTGGGGTTGCAACTTCTTTGGAGGATAGGGACATAATTCAAAATGACCTTAGCAAGTTAGAGAAATGGTCAGAGGTAAACAGGATGAGGTTTAATAAAGAGAAATGCAAAGTGCTCCACTTAGGAAGGAACAATCAGTTCCATACATACAAGATGGGAAGCGACTGTCTAGGAAGGAGCATGGCAGAAAGGGATCTAGGGGTCATAGTGGACCACAAGTTGAATATGAGTCAACAGTGTGATGCTGTTGCAAAAAAAGCAAATATGATTCTAGGTTGTATCAACAGGTGTGTTGTAAGCAAAACTCGTGAAGTCATTCTGCCGCTCTACTCTGCACTAGTTAGGCCTCAGCTGGAGTACTGTGTCCAGTTCTGGGCGCCACATTTCAAGAAAGATGTGGAGAAATTGGAAAGGGTACAGAGAAGAGCAACAAGAATGATTAAAGGTTTAGAGAACATGACCTATGAAGCCAGGCTTCATGAACTGGGCTTGTTTAGTTTGGAAAAAAGAAGATTAAGGGGGGACATGATAGCGGTTTTCAAATATCTAAAAGGGTGTCACAAGGAGGAAGGAGAAAATTTGTTCCTCTTGGTTTCTGAGGACAGGACAAGGAGTAATGGGCTTAAAGTGCAGCAGGGGAGGTTTAGATTGGACATTAGGAAAAAATTCCTAACTGTCAGGGTGGTCAAATATTGGAATAAATTGCCAAGGGAGGTGGTGGAATCTCCCTCTCTGGAGATATTTAAGAACAGGTTAGATAGACATCTGTCAGGGATGGTGTAGACAGAGCTTGATCCTGCCTTGAGGGCGGGGGGCTTTAAGGGTTGTTGAATAAAGGTATTGTAGAACTTGTTTGAAAGTTCTTAGAGACCATTGCAGGGAATTGCCTACAGACCTGTTGAATACTCTTTTGAAGTTCACTTTCAGGTTTTCTTACTTAAATAACCATTCTGGAATGTAAAGAAAGTGTACCCTTTGATTTCTAGGGTACTGAGTGTGCTGAACAAATAAAAGAACTGATTCTAAGCCTGTGTGAGAAGAACTGTGAACAGAGTATGGTTGAACAGCTGGATAAACTCCTAAATGACACCACCAAGCCTGTGGGCTTCCTACTAAATGAAAGATTCATCAATGTGCCACCACAGATTGCTCTGCCCATGCACCAGCAACTTCAGTAAGAGTCATTCTAAAAATGATTTTGAACAGTAATTTTTTCCTTCAGATGTCTTCAGAAACCTTATTTAAATGGAAATGTGTTATAATGCTAAGGGAATGATACTACAGTTTTAAGTAAGAAACAGATCAAAGAAAAAATACAATTGTTTTATATAAGGTCCTTGTTACCAACTTTTAATTACGTTTGATGTTACTTTTTTATGCATTAAAATTCCTAATCATTGTTTCTTGAATAGGAAACCACTTTAAAATTATGCCACATATTACTAGAACAGGAAAAATGTATGAATTGTAGTTGATATTTGTTTTGAAAATGAGCAAACTTATAAAAATTATACCATTTACAGCATTATTATAATGCGCAACTGAGGTATTTGTATTTGTGCTTAACTCAGGCTTTGGAATGGAAATCTTGGCTTCCGCAGATTTATTTGTAAGTGCATGGTCAGTAGATGAGTCATTGAAACCTTTTTAAAATCAGTGACTGGGATTAGTGCAGAGGGTTAGGCACTACTTTCTCTACCTATAAGGGTGCAGTGTCAAGGCTCTTTGGGTGTGTCTAGACTACAGGGTTTTTTCGAAAAAAGTAGCCTTTTTTCGAAGAAACTTCACCTGCGTCTAGACTGCAGTCGTGTTCTTTCGAAAGTAAATCGAAAGAACGCGACAGTTTTTTCGATAGCGGTAAACCTCATTTTACGAGTAATGCCTTTTTTTGAAAGTACCCTTTCCAAAAAAGGTGCTATTGAATGCAAACTGCTTTTTCAAAAGAGAGTGTCTAGACTTTCAAAAAAGTGGCTTGCTTTTTCGAAAAATCTACTTGTAGTGTAGATGCTCTTTTTCGAAAGAGGTCTTTTCTAAAGATACTTTCGAAAAAGGCTTGCAGTCTAGACGTAGCCTTTCAGGGATATCAAGACAGGTAATTTGGAAAAAAATAAGCAGAGATGTGAAGGAAGTGAAAGAATCTAAAATTTGCTTGTGGTTTTGACTCTCCGGATGGATTTTCATTCATTTAGATTTGCCTTTTCATTTCTGTCACTTCTCCTGCTTTTATTACTCAGAAGAGATTCTTTTTCTACTCTCCACCCTAGCAGTTCATGCTGCATGTATTGGAAATTAGCTTAGTCCCAGTGATCTTAGGTGGCTGTCCCATCCTAACCTCCACTTGCAGACGTATTACAGCTCCCTTCTCTTAGTGTCTGCTTTGTGACACAGCCCTCTGACTGTTTCATCATCCAGTTCTGTATCCTGCCTCTCTTCTGGGGGCTCCTCCAACAAGAATCCAGCCACTCCTCTGAGTGGCTTTTCAGTCTAGCAACTTCTTCAGTGGTGAGATGGGAGGGAGGATACTGAGAGGGAAGTCTCACAGAATGAACTCTCCTGGCTTTCTGTTTGGTATACTCTGAACTGGGAGGAGAAACAGAAAATAAGAGTTCAGATGGTAATTCTGTTAATCTAATGTATGAAATTAGGAAAGAAATGGAGATTCCAAAGTTGCACGGGTTTAGATCCCATTTTAGTTGCATGCTAAATTTTTAACTATAGAATTCATTTTAATATATGTGGAATCCAAGTGTTTTGAGTAGACTATGATGGTGATTATGACTAGGATATATGTTCCCTCTTACTTTTATCTCTTTGTGCAGAATGAATTTTGTTGTGTGCATCGGTATGGAGATATGTGACACAGCCTCTCCATACTAGTAGAGCCCTAAAACTTGTGGATATATGCATATGTGGATATGGACATCTGCAGCTCATTTTTGTGGATACGGATATAGATACAAATTTTGTGTCCACACAGGCCTCTACATATTGGTGCACATAACAAAATCCATTCTGCCCATGGAGTGAGGCTGAGCAGTTCAGAGGGTGGGAAGGGATTCAGGGTTGGAAGAGATGAAGGCTTTGGCTGGGGGTGCAGGCTCTATGGTGGGGTTGGGGATGAGAGATTTGGTGTGCAGGAAGGGGCTCCAGACTAGGGCCAAGGGGTTTGGAGTGTGGGAGCATACTCAGGGCAGGAAGTTGGGGTTGGTTTGAGCAGGAGTTAGGGTAGAGGAGAGGGTTCAGGGTAGGGATGTAAGCGACTACTTGACTATCCAATAAACATATGCTTAATTAATGATTGATTAGTTGCTTCCCCCTCCCTTTGCTGCCTCTATCGGAGACAGGCAGCAAGGTAATCAGAGCGGGAGCTGGCTTAAAAACTTGTTTCCCCCCAGCACCATTGCCGCGGGGGACAGGGGAGGAGGAGATGCAGCAGGGACCAGGCACTGTGCCTCTGCTTTTTAAATGTATTAAGAGCTGCCAAGCTCTTAATACCTTTAAAAGGTAGAGGTGGGGACCAGGCGCGAGCCAGGAATCAGATGTCCCAGCTTGCACCTGATCCATTAGGCTCTGAATACATTTGAAAGGCAGAGCAGCAGCGGAGTTAGCTCCCGGGGCCGGGACCTAAATCTGCAGACCCGCCCCCTTCCTCCCCCTATTGACTAATTGAGTAGTCAGTGAAATTCCATCAACTGCTTGATTAGCTGATAAAACACAATTTAACATCCCTAGTTCAGGGTTTGGATGTGGGGGTCTAGCAGGAAGCTAGGGTGATAGAGTACTAGTACTGAGCATGCTCCGAGTTGGGGCACAGGGTCTGGGTGGGAGTTAGGATGTGGGACGGGGCTCACGGATGGGGTATGGGATTGGGGTGGAGGTCACTTTCATGGGGGCAGCTCCCATTTGGTGGGGGATAGAGGGGAAGGGGTAACTTCCTGTGGCATGTGCTGCCCCACACTCACCTGCAGGCACATCGTCTTCTCGCTCCCCCCTGGCGTAACCTCCAGACTAGAGCAGTGCAGGGACAGAGCTTCCTGGCACTGGCGGGAATGCAGCTCTAGCTGGGAGGGAAGAAACTGCAGGGTATGGAGCTACCTCCTTCTGTCTCACCAGGAAGGGCTGCCCCAGACCACAGGGGCTTTAGAAGCTACTGCCCTGTGCAGCAGGCTAAGGGGACACCTGGCTGCAGCCCCTTTCTTAATCCGGACCTGCTGCTGGGGCCAAAGGAGCTCCTCTCTTCCCCAGCCACACCAAGGAGCTGCCAGCTGTGCATCTTAGAGGGAACCCTGGTAGGGGCTGGTTTTGTTGGTGATGATTTTAAGAATGACTGTTGAGAACTCTTCAAAGAAAATTACTGCCATAAATGCCTATACAAAGTCAGTATTCCTATTTGGGAGATTTATGTACAGTTCATGGTGCATGAAAAATATTCTTTATGTAAATATTTGTATTTAGGAAAGAATTGGCTGAAACTCAAAGAACAAACAAGCCATGTGGAAAGTGCTACTACTACCTTCTCATCAGCAAGACCTTTACAGAAACAGCAAAACGCAGCTCTAAAAGAAGAGGAGAGGGCACACAGCAGAGAGAGGAATTAATGTTTGCAAATGCAGAGGAAGAATTCTTTTATGAGGTAACAGACTTCTGATATCATTAAATCCAATTGTTTGCCTTTTCTTTAAAGCAGAGAAATGGAGATTCTGACTAGGTATGTAAAATCCTAGTTAATCAGTTAACCAGTTAAACCTCAGTTCTGACTCTACTTGTTTTTCAAGTAATAGTAATGGCCATTCTTACTGAGCTACTTTAGAAACCAGATGTGCAGTGATTATGAAAAGGTGGTAAAATGATCTTGTTATATAAATCCAGCTGCTTTTTGTGTAATTACTATTGAAAGATGTATAAACCGTTTTTGCTGAAGTAGAATATACTTACTAACTCTTGACCAAGATGAACAAGGTTTGCCTTGTTAGAAGCACTGAGAGCTGCACTACTACAGATTTTAAAATGGCATTCTGCTTTTTTTGTAGTAATTTATTCATATTATTTACAGCAAGTCTCAAAGACATTGTATTAAAAGCACTGGCATGTGCCTAGCCTCTTTACAGAGGGCCTCCCACCATTGCTTGGTGTAGGGGGAAAGATCAGCTGTACCTTCACAAGTAATTAACGGTTTGTCTTGAGGGTTGTAGTGAAGGGATTTAACAAAGAATTTTGAAAAGAATGGACAGAAGAGAGCAGACGCACAGTTTAACATTATGAATTGACCCTTCAAGGTTTTTAATCTTATAGGTAGAGAGAGCCCTTTTAGTTCAGGGGCAGTTGTACCCTCTGTTTAATTTTCTATTTCAAGCTGTATAAAATTACAACTTTGGAAGAGCATAATTCAAAGAATCAGAGCAATTGCATCTTTCAGGCTTCTGGGGAAAATAATTCTTTTTTTTTTTGCGTTCTTTTTATTTAAAAAACTATTCAGAACAAATCTTCTGAAGAGCCAGATGTATGGATGTCACTATCCCATTTGTTTTGTATGTTCAGTTTGGGACACACACATTAATAAAAAGCACTGAAATTTTGAGCTGAAAGTATTAGTTATAATTTTCTCAGGGAACCTTGCCACTAAATTCTGCTAGTCCCAGGCCACACAGAGAGAGGAGGATGCAGAAAATTAAATATAACATGTAATTTGAAATGCATGGAATTTCTCAGTGTTCTTTACTTTTTTCAGAGCTTTAAAAACATTATTCCATAGCACTGTTGCTTTGTTAAGAGTCCCCTGTTCTTCCTGTGTGATGGCAGTGCACACAGGATAAAATGTTGCTCTTCAGCATCTTTCTCTAGCACTGACTATGAAATGTCTATCCTTGTGAGAGTGGTCACTTAATGGCTATCATTTTAATAGTGGTCAATTAAAAGTCTGTGTGTATTCGTTATGAAGCTACAGAGAATTCTGCTGTGGGGGTGTAAAAATAACAAGGAGCCTAAGGGTTTTTCTTTTGGTTCTTGTAGCAATGACTCAGCACCTGAATTTGAACTTTGTGCACACTAGGAATGTGAAAGGATTAGCTGGATAACTGGTAAATGTCGCCCTCAATGGGTAATGCTTACTGATTCCAGTTAACCGCAGGGGCTGCAGCAGTTTCCCACCCATCCCAGATAGGGGGCTGTTCTTGCCTGTGATATATGTATATCATAGAATACTAGGACTGGAAGGGACCTTGAGAGGTCATCGAGTCCAGTCCCCTACCCTCATAGCAGGACCAAATACTGTCTACACCATCGCTGATAGACATTTATCTAACCTACTCTTAAATATCTCCAGAGATGGAGATTCCACAACCTCGCTGGGCAATTTATTCCAGTGTTTGACTACCCTGACAGTTAGGACCTTTTTCCTAATGTCCAACCTAACCCTCCCTTGCTGCAGTTTAAGCCCATTGCTTCTTGTTCTATCCTCAGAGGCCAAGATGAACAAGTTTTCTCCCTCCTCCTTATGACACACTTTTAGATACCTGAAAACTGCTATCATGTCCCCCCTCAATCTTCTCTTTTGTAAACTAAACAAACCCAATTCTTTCAGCCTTCCTTCATAGGTCATGTTCTCTTAAACCTTTAATCATTCTTGTTGCTCTTCTCTGGACCCTCTCCGATTTCTCCACATCTTTCTTGAAATGTGGTGCTCAGAACTGGACACAATACTCCAACTGAGGCCTAACCAGCGCAGAGTAGAGCAGAAGAATGACTTCTTGTGTCTTGCTCATAACACACCTGTTAATGCATCCCAGAATCACGTTTGCTTTTTTTTGTAACAGCTTCACACTGCTGACTCATACTCAGCTTGTGATCCACTATAACCCCTAGATCCATTTCTGCCGAACTCCTTCCTAGACAGTCGCTTCCCATTCTGTATGTGTGAAACTGATTGTTCCTTCCTAAGTGGAGCACTTTGCATTTGTCTTTATTAAACTTCATCCTGTTTACCTCAGACCATTTTACCATTTCTGTATGTGCTTCTGCTCTCTTCTGCCCATATGTGGATATGCACCAAATTAACTGTCTGTGTATCCTTTCCTGATCGCACATAACAGTAGTTTGTAGCAATCTAACATTAAATACAATGGGCAGCTGAGAATTGAATAAGTGGGGGGGAGTCAACTCCCACCCCATCAACTAACTCACTGTGCTATTGTCATCCTTAACATGCCATTGAAGGAATAGGGAAAAAAGCTTCAAATGTACCCAAACTTAGACTCAATTAAACATTTAAGCTCCAGTTCTTCAAACTATTTATTCTTGAACAACATCTCTGGATTAGTTTTATGGCTCTCCCAAAATTGAAATATTACATCCTTGAAACACAAGTATAATACAGCAGTTATGTAGGAAGCCCTGGAAGGAGGTTAGGTTGTTTTTCCTCTTAAGTTTTGGATAATACTTGTTAATTTTTTCCCCAGGCAAATTAGAGGCTGCACCCAGAATTAGAGAGTACTCCAACTCAGGAGTTGGGTAGCTCCCTCCCATGTCCTACTTAGAAAATTCCTCTTAATACACCCCAGAATATTAGCCTTTTTCGACATTGCTTCTCACTGTTCACTTATAGTCAATTTGTGATCTACTATAATCTTTAGAACCTTTTCAGAAGAATTATCATTTAACCCTGTGTTTCTTAAACTATGTTCCATGGAACACTGGTGTTCCGTGAACAACTTGCAGGTGTGCTGTGACCTTTTCTTTGTTTTCGTTACATCTTTTTTTTTTGTTTGTTTGTTTCGTTTTGTTTTAAGAAAATTTTCATAGGTGTTCCTCATTAAAAAAATATTATTGTTTGGTATTCCATGGTCTCAAAAAGCTTAAGAAACAGTTATCCCTATCGTGTATTTGTGCATCTGATTTCTCCTCCCAAAATATTTTGTGCTCTTTAGTTGAATTCCATATGGTTTACTTCAGACCAGTTCTCTAATTTGTGAAGTTTTATTTATTTACATATATTTATTTATTTCTCCTTTAGAAAGCCCTTCTGACGTTCAGCTATTCTGTGCAAGAGGAGAGTGACTCGTGTTTGGGAGGCAGATGGTCCTTTGATGATGTACCAATGAAACCTCTGAGAACTGTTATGTTGATTCCATCTGATAGGATGAATGCAATCATGGATAAACTCAAAGAGTATCTGTCAATCTAGATAGGTTTCCTTGGATAATGTTTTATAAAGCAACTGTGGAAAAATGACATGCCTTTTGAATAGCTTCTCAAAAGTTTGTATACTGGTGAAATGTGTAGGTTGTACAACTAATAATGTGAGTCACACTGTTACTTTAAAATACTATAGCCTAGTAGTCTTTGGAGTCACCATTAAGCATACAATTAAAAAAGCCCTACATCTCTAAGATTTCTAAAGAAGTTAATTTTTCTTTTCTCTCCTGTTAAATATCTTATATTTCAAGTTGAAAAAAACATTAATTAATGGAATAATTTTGGGACCTATTACACATACTTGTTTTGTTTGATTGAAAGTAGTTGGACATAAAAGGCATTGAATAATTCATTTTTGTTAAGCAGGAGTTTGGGGATATTCTTCATATTCTTTCTTAATGTTTTATTTAGCGTCTTTTTCATTGTTGAAACGGGTGAAAAATGATTACTTCCTGCAGAATCTCCTTGCTTTTTCTAGGAGGCAGATTGCTAAAATATTAGTGAGATGCCAGTTCCACAAATCTGGTGAGAAACAGAATAAAACATATTTTTGAAAGATGAAATTTTAAATGCTTTATATATACATTTCATGATTTGTGCAAAAAATAGGGATGTTAAATTTAGGTTATTTTAGTAATCAAGTAGTTGAAAGAATTTTTATCGGCTACTCGATTACACTTGACAGGGGAAGGCTGCTCTGCTCAGTCCTGGCTTGCAGCTGCCCCATGGCTCCTACTGCATTTTAAATTGCAGAGCTGCAGCAGGGTTAGCCCTCCCTCCCCGCCCCCCAACCCGGTGTGAGCTGGGACTGAGCCAGGCTACCTGCCTGCCCGGCTCCCACTAAATTTAGGAGCCGGGAGGGCAGGCACCCCAGCTCAGTCCCTGCTCATGCCAGGTCGGGGACCAACCCCCCTCTCCTCCGGTGCTCCACCCATCCCCGCTGCCTCTGATAGAGGTGGAGACAGTGCTGGGGGCTCCTGTTTCCCCTGCCTTGCTATCTTTGATATAGAGGCATTGGGAGGGTGATAATGTGAGTAGTCGACTCAACTACCCGATTATCTTAAGCTTATTGAGGAGTTGACTAATCAACTAATCTTTTACATTCCTGGCAGAAAAAGTGCTCAGAGCCAGTGGTATGTGCAACTGCATATTTAATACCTGAACAATTAGTATTAGGGTTCAGTGAGAAAAAACTACTACTTTTGTGCTCTAAGCAGACTTGCAAATTAACATGCTCAGCCTGCACTTGGAGTGATTGGGTTCAGTTCCCAGTGCTGCAAATCACATTAAATATGAATTGCAGCGTTTTTCTGTATTTGAGTGCACAGCATGCGCTACAAAATATAAAGAGGCATTCTGAAGAGCTCTGAGAAGGAGAAATCGGAGGGAAACTTTCCTGGTGATGTGTGCCCAGTAGAAGAGCAGATGTCAGAACAGGCTGGGCTGTTTGTAGATGAAGGCAGTTGTATGGGATGGTTGCAGAAGCATATAAAAAGCATTTGCCAGAAATGTCTTTTGGAAAAAAAAACAAACTGGTTAACTTTCTCAATTTATTTAATAGAGGAATCTTGCTGCTTTTGCTCCTTTTTGGTGTTAATTTCTAAAACCAGAAATTATATTTTAGCATTAATTTTTAATCATTTTAGGGACATTCGTTTTTAATGGATTGAGCATAGTTACAATAACAGACTTTGAGATGCATTCATAGAACCATAGAGCTGGAAGAGACCTCAGAAGGTCATCAAGTCCAGCCCCCTGCTCTAAGCAGGACCAATCCCAACTAAATCAACCCAGCCAGGGCTTTGTCAAGCCGAGACTTAAACACCTCTAGGGATGGAGACTCCACTACTTCCCTAGGTAACCCATTCCAGTGCTTCACTACCCTCTTAGTGAAATAGTTTTTCCTAATATTCAACCTGGACCTCTCCCACCACAACTTGAGACCATTGCTCCTTGTTCTGCCATTGAATATACAGGAAGGTACAGTGTGGCTTATGGAATGTACAGCCTGATTTAGGTAATTTACAGCTATCCTAGTGTTTTTTAGTGAAAACTCAATAAAAGGTTGGTATACATACAATATACCAGACAGTGTTATGCAAAGACAAAGCATAGACTGGTAAATATAAACAAAACAGAACTGAACCCAGTGAAAGCTCGGCCATTTTATGTTAATTGTTTCCCCATCTATAAATATCTGGTGACTACTTTGTCTTTCATCCAAACCTTGGGTACATCTTCACTCACTACACCGGAGATCACTCTCCTAGCATTTGATTTAGCATGTCTAGTTAAAACCCATAAATCAAACTCTGAGGGCAACTCTGGCCAGTACTCCTATAGTCGCGAGGAGTAAGAGAAGCCAATGTTTGTTCCCATCATCCTCCCTCTGTAAAGACTGCACAAAGGTTGGGATAAGGTAAGCTGACTCCACTTACTCTTTTTGTAGTTGAAGTTGCATACCTTAATCTGATCTTCCAGGTCTAGTGTAGACCTGGCCTTTGTTAGTTTGTTTTTTAGGTTAGGAGCACAGTGTGGAAGGGGTTGGTTTACCAGTGTGGTATAACTGGACAGGACCTAGTACATACTTAGGAAGCAACTGTCATAGAAATAATTGTAGATCATTAACTAGATCCTAACTTTCTTACACCATTGTCAAGATATTCTCCCTCAGCTCTTCATGTGTATTGTATATAGTTAATACACAGCTTGAGGGGGGACTTAATTCAGTTTTTCAGCTTCGTTCATTGTATTTGTCTTGCCTCAATGCAGGACATTGGACTAGGTGATCTACCAAGGTCCATTCTAGTTCTACATTTCTATGATTCTATGAGCTTCTGTTAAATGTCGCCTTCAGCTTCTGCTTTGGCATTTCTGGGTTTGGAAAGCAAGATAGGAAAGACTCCTGAGCTGATACGCCCAATGTTGCTAGGCTTATAGGTAGAGTACTATCTACTTAGTAGAACACTTCCCCTTCCACATGCATATGTCCTGCCATCCTTCAAGAATCCAACTCAAGCAAAGTAGACATCAGAGTCTCAGCAATTGATCTGATGATTGCGGAGTAGTATAGATGCAGGTGGGCTGGGAATTCATAGAGAGACCAGGAGCTTGTTGCTTTTGCAGTGAAGACATCTCTTGTCTCCTTATAGCAGATTCTGCTTTGCTAACCAGTCTGTGGAGACGTAGCTTTGATGAGGCGAGACCAGGAACTAGCTTCTGCTTAATTCATAAGTATAACACAATTCCCCTCCCTCAATCCTTAATGTTGTTTACTATTGTTACATTTTTATGACAAACATAATGAAGATCTCTGCAGCCCAGTTTTGAGAATGCAGTAAAACCACCTTTGCATGAATTTCAGTTAAGTGATTTCTGTCCATCTCTCCTTAACTTACAGGTCAGGAGACGACTGATAGAATTTTAGTCTCATATACTGAATTTTTGGAATTGACACAACCAACTCAGTTATTCTCCTGGTAAATATGTCAAAAAAAGGGATGAAGCTGAGTTACTTAAATAGTTTCCTGAGTCCTCCACATCGTGAACAATCTAAATTGTAAAAAGAAAGCTATTTATATGTGACCTTTAAATGTGTGGAATGATGGAAAATTTGATAGTTTGCATGTGCCATCTCTTTCGGTCAGCATCTACCTTGTTGCAGTGTATTAAACTAAACACACCAAATTTGATGGTCCTAGCTCTTATCGCTTAGGAGTTCTGGAACAAACGGACTCACAGACGGGCAGACAGATGCATGTTTCTAAAATATACAACTGGATAACATCAAAAGTGTGCATATCTAGAGAGTATTAAAAGCCAAAAGAGCACAAACAGTAAAATAAATTGTCCATATATCTCACGTATACCACATCTGCAGGGTAACATAGAATAAGTATGCCTTCCATTATGTTGTTATGGATCAACAGTAGGCTCTATAAAGCCAACACTGAAAGCAAATTCTAGAGTTAACAGCCCTCTAATGCAAATGCTCAATTTCCAGATGTTATGTGTTCAAAATTAGGCTCCACTGCCATACAGGGACACACTGATCCATTGGAATGGCATTGATTGAACACCAGACTAATGTTTCAGTAAAGCAATGTGATGGAATTTATAATTAATTTTGTTTTCCAAGTGGTGAAATAAATTGACAAAAGAATTCTTTGTAGGTCAATAGTCCAATAATATTTTTCACAAGACCATCTTCCTAATATGGTCTCTACTAAATAAAGGTAAATATAATGAGATGACAAAATCTCCATTCAATATTAATTGTGTTTTCTCTTTCTTATACATTGGAAATCAATGCTGTGTTTTGAGCATAGAATTAAAGAATAGGTCAGTGATTCTTATTACTTCACTGAAATTCATGCAAGGGTGCTGTTACTGCATTCTCAAAACTGGGCTGCAGAAATCTTTACTCTGAGTAAACAAGAATTTGAAGTCTCTCTCAATATCTAAATTGTGGCTTAAACATGATTTTTTTTTGTAAAGGAAAATCATGCGTCAAATCTACTAGAATTCTTTGAGGTGGTCAACAAGCATGTGGATGAGGGTATATAGTGTACTTAGATTTCCAGAAAGCCTTTGACAAGGTACCCAACCAGAGGCTCTTAAGCAAAGTAATCTATCATGGGATAAGAGGAAAGATCATCTCATGGACTGATAACTGGTTAAAAATAGGAAGCAGGATAGGAATAAATGGTCAGTTTTTGGAATAGAAAGAGGTAACTAGTGATGTCTCCCTAGTGGTCTATACATATTCATAAATGATCTGGGGAAAAGGGAAAACAGGAAGGAGGCAAAATTTGCAGACAATACAAAACTGCTCAAGATAGCGAAGTCCAAAGCAGACTTGAAGATCTTCAAAAAATCTCACAAAACTCAATGACTGCGCAACAAAATGGCAGATAAATTTAATATTGATAAATGCAAAATAATGCATATTGAAATAAAATGTCTAATATGATAGGGACTAAATTAGCTGTTGCTAGTCAAAAGACAGCTTGGAGTCGTCATGGATAGTTCTCTGTAAACATCTACTCAGTGTGCAGCATTAGTCAAAAAAAAGCAAAGTTGAAAATCATTAAGAAAGATATAGAGATTGAGGCTACGTCTCGACTGCAGGCTTCTTTCGGAAGAAGCTTTTCCTGAAGAGATCTTCCAAAAAAACTTCTTCTAAAAGAGAGCATCCACTCAGGCCAAGTGCGTCGAAAAAGCGATCTGCTTTTTTGAAAGATAAAGTTCAGACTGATTGGATGCTATCTTTCATATAAGGCCACCTGGAATTACTTCAGGCAGGGCTTTAGGTCACCAGTTGCTTCCGAGTGCTGCCGGAGCCTAGCTCAGACACGCACTTAACGGGGACCCCCCCCCACCGGACAGACATTTCTCTGCTTCTGCTGTGTACTTGCTTACCTCTTAGAGGAACAGCAAAGCTCTCGCAGTGTCTGCTGTGGTTGCCCAGCTCTTTTGGATGCCATAACTTTTGTCTTTGTGCCATAGAGCCAGAGCTGTCTCTGGGCATGCAGTGGCCCCACACGGCCAGGCTGCAATTTCT